CGGCGTCTGGGGGCTGCGGCTGTGCCGGCCCCGGCTTCGGCTGGCGCTGCTCCCCGCCGCCCTTCCATCGGCTGCGCTGCCTCCGCAGGAGCTCCGGGCTTTAAGGCTGATATCTGAACAGCAAATTGGCAGAGGATGCGACAGGAGCGCAGGGCACAAATGAAGGGCCAAAGGTGTGTTTCAGCGATCCCCCGGCGTGGGGTCTCCCCGGTGGGTCGGGAGCAGGGGCAGGGCTGTCTCCGCTCTGGACACTCCTGTCTCTCTGTGAGGCTCCTGGTATCTCACTCAACTCAAAAAAGAATGTATATTATATGCTTTATACATATTATGTATTTTATGTATATATCTCTTTATGTATTATAAAGGAGTTTGATATGTCATCAAATGACTGATGCATTAGGAAAAAGCAGTGTGATTATCCCCATTCTATTTTCCAGTTCTCACTAAAGGGACTTTTGCTTGAACTGTTAGAATTGTTATAATTATTTTTTGTTTTCTTTTTTTTTTTTTTAAGTGTAGTCCCATGCAGGACTTTCCCACTCGTATCTAAAGAGGTGATTTTTACCACGCACTCACTGACGTCCACCCTTGCTTGTTAACCGGTATTGCTGCAAAACGAACTTGATATACAATTACGTTTCGCTAGGCAGGTAGCCATCATTTCTAATAATTTCTATCATGCCAAATAATTTATAACATGTAAGGACTGAGAGCAGGAGACGGTCCCTCCTCCTCTCTCCGGGGTGATGGAGACGGAGCGGGGACACCGCCGGGACCGTGGGCTGTGTGGAGGGGAGGGATGCTGAGCACCGCGCTGGCAGGAGGGGCTGGTGGGGGGCAGGAGGGCGCCTGGGGACCCCCCCGGGGCTGCCCCGGGGGATGCTAACCTCAACGCATTGGCCATGGCTCTGGGGGAAAAGCGTTGTTCCTCCCTGACTTACCACCGTCAAGCTGCTCATCTGCGTTAAAAGTGATGAATTTCTTTGTATTGAAGCCCTGAAAGAACAGCGAGAGCTTAATTACAGCAAAAGGTCCTTGTGCTCATTGCGGCACACTGCAAACCTGCTGGGGAGAAAAGTTTCTACAATAGGAACCTTTCCGGAGTAACGCGCTGGCGTTAGGGGACCTGGGAAAGAGAGAGGGTTTTAAAAGGGAAAAAAAAAAAAGCCAGCAGAAGAAAATCACTAGTCTGAGGTTCATTTGCATTCCTATTGCAGAGCTTCAGCGTTGGCAATACAAATTCAACCCACCCAGACATCACTTACAGCAACAACCGCAAAATCCAAAACTGGGGCAAACTGTTGATGCTGAAAATGCTTTTCAAAATGAATATTAATGTTCTCAGCTGCTGGTTGGAGGGGCCAAGGCGCAGCGACTGCGCCTGGGGAAACGGGCCCCTCGGAGACGGCTGTGATCGCGGGGTCGTGAGAGGAGCAGTCACGCTCCTGCCATTTTTTGCTGACGTGTTAAAAATAGCTCAAAGTCGTGTTTTTTTTGTTTTTTAAGACAAAGGTCACAGAGTTTGGTACCTGTCCATTTTAATTACTTTCCAACAGCACAACCTTTGTCAGCTGCCATCCTACAGGATAAAACCATCCTGCTTGGCCAAAGTTTCCCAGCAAAAGCGGGATTTCACTGGGAACTTGCATGCATAGCACTTTGTGGATACCACCGTCAAGCTGCTCATCTGCGTTAAAAGTGATGAATTTCTTTGTATTGAAGCCCTGAAAGAACAGCGAGAGCTTAATTACAGCAAAAGGTCCTTGTGCTCATTGCGGCACACTGCAAACCTGCTGGGGAGAAAAGTTTCTACAATAGGAACCTTTCCGGAGTAACGCGCTGGCGTTAGGGGACCTGGGCAAGAGGGAGGGTTGTAAAAGGGGAAAAAAAAAAAGCCAGCAGAAGAAAATCACTAGTCTGAGGTTCATTTGCATTCCTATTGCAGAGCTTCAGCGTTGGCAATACAAATTCAACCCACCCAGACATCACTTACAGCAACAACCGCAAAATCCAAAACTGGGGCAAACTGTTGATGCTGAAAATGCTTTTCAAAATGAATATTAATGTTCTCAGCTGCTGGTTGGAGGGGCCAAGGCGCAGCGACTGCGCCTGGGGAAACGGGCCCCTCGGAGACGGCTGTGATCGCGGGGTCGTGAGAGGAGCAGTCACGCTCCTGCCATTTTTTGCTGACGTGTTAAAAATAGCTCAAAGTCGTGTTTTTTTTGTTTTTTAAGACAAAGGTCACAGAGTTTGGTACCTGTCCATTTTAATTACTTTCCAACAGCACAACCTTTGTCAGCTGCCATCCTACAGGATAAAACCATCCTGCTTGGCCAAAGTTTCCCAGCAAAAGCGGGATTTCACTGGGAACTTGCATGCATAGCACTTTGTGGAAAAAAAAAAAGGGTGCAGGACGGACCGACAGCCCCTCCGGCTATGCAGGGCTCCTGCAGCCCAGGAGAGGTGCCGGCGAGGAGGAGCAGGGTTTGCTGCCGCAGCTGCGGGGACAGGTCGGGGTGCCCCGGGCAGGGGATGGGACTCGCAGCCACCCACCCGCATCGGGGATGCGGCGGCTCCTCCGCACACGGGGACCCGGGGAGCGCGGGCAGGCACCCAGGGAGACGGGGCTCCGCGCCGAAGACGCGAACATGTGCTTTACGGAAAGCGCCAAGAAAGCAACATTTGGAGGTTAAGAAATGGCAGAAAACAGACAGATCTCCTCATGTGAAATTCAGTGAAATGACGACTGCGAGTTTCACAGAGCGCAAGCTGTGCCGCTTTGATAATTAATTAATATTTGCAGAGGGCTTTGGGATCCTCAGATGAAGGGTCGGGTGTTGTTACGGCGATAGATGGCCGGTGACGAAGCAGGGGGATGAAGGTGTGCGGGAAGGGGAGCTGCCCACCACCCTCCCACCCACCCCCGTGGTGTCCCCAGTTTGGAGGGCGGCCGGCTGGTGGGGCAGACCAGAGGAGTAAAGATGTCCATCCAGTAAAGACCTCCAGAGCTTCGCTCTGACATTGCTGACGAGCGGCTGGGCAGTGAGACGGTGGCCACCTTCCCTCAGCCAGTGGCCGGCGGCCCCGGCAGCGGCAATGCCCGGCTCCCCCCTGCCACAGAGGAAGCGCGGGGGGCTCCCAGCTCTGCGTCTTTGTGTTGACGCCGCCGATTGCGGTTTTGAGCCCAAAACACCCTGCAAATTAAATTATTTATTC